CTGCAGTAAGCAGCTGTTGGCACATATTGTTTGATGTGAATGGTTACCTGGCATGCAGGGACTTTCCAAAAATAGTCTTAATTATGGGGGAGAAGCTACGGCACAATCCCTATGTTTTCTTGTTTCTAGATGTTTCATATTTATGTAAAAAAAAAGTCAGAAAGTGGTTTGAGTGAATGTATAAATAAGTTTTATGTTGTTGAAAATTGTAACCAAAACGAATATCTGAGCAAAATGTATTAAATATACGAAAATAATACGTTGGAATAAAGGGGTCAGCAGTGTAAAGATTTAATGTAAAGTATGGATAAGTTAAACACTGAAAAATTGGAGTAAACTTTCCCCTTTTTATATTGGTGTTGCTGCTTGTTTTGGTTGCAATAAAAAAGGGTGAGCGATTCATTCCCCAGTTGTTGTTTTTTTCTTGTTTAATTTAACCACTTTTATATTACTTTAATTTAATTTAATTTTATATTTGATTTAATTTAATTTTATATTTGATTTAATTTAATTTTATATTTAATTTAATTTAATTTTATATTTAATTAAATTAAATTTTATATTACATTACTTTTTATATTAATGGGTTTGCTCTTTCATATAACTTCTTTTTATATTAAAATTTTATAAGGCAAAACCTTTATTCTATTTTGGCTGTTTTTATGCATGTGACACATTTTAATCAGATATCATATTCCGTCCTTTACCTCATTATATACACATACATACATATATATATATAAGTGAGTGTATGTTCAAGGTACATATAAAACTTAACACTGTCTTTACACAGTATAATCTGTATAATTTCTCGTCAGTTATTAATAGGGCCAAACATACTCTAGTGGTTAACGTGGCCGGCCCGTGAATCCTGGAATAATGGTTCGCGTCTCGTTGCCGGAAAAACGGATTCCGCACTTTGGAGTCGTGATAAAACAGTGACGGTTTAACCCCACCATTCGGTCACACAACTATAGCCCAAAAGTTAGATAGCAGCCTTTCCTCTATCAGCTCCAAATTAGTGAAGGTTATGCGCACATATCTCTTGGGTAATTTTGTTACGAATATTTGAAAATCAAACGGTTCGTAATATCGCTTTATATAATCATCTTTGGAATCCATGTTAGTTGCAATGTAGATGCAGTGATACATTAGGGCTGTTTTTTGGTGGGTTTATTAAAAACCTTATGAAAAGCTATTCGTTGGGCCCTTGTCACAGTTGGATGGCTCCATATTACTGGAAAAATGACAGAGGTCGATATGTGTGCTTCCCACCGACTCAATACCTATTAGAAGTTAACGAGACCGTGCTTCCTGTGCTTTTGAAATGTGTAGTATTATTTAAGAATTCTACTTATATTGTATGAAATGGGGACTGTTATCAATGTAACATATGTACGTGTAACACCAGTATAACTGGAATTTAAAACCAGAGAAAAATCAAAAGGTGATATTAAAAATATATATAACGTATGTTAGATAGAGGAAAGCGGATGCAGATGTAAAGTGACAGTAAAGTAATAAGAGACAATATAGATTGTGTTGGATGTTGTTTGATATACACGATTGTTAATGCGAGTGTTATGATTCGGGTGGTTAAGTGTAAAGTGGTTTTTTAAGAAAGATACTTTGTCGCAGGTTTGTTTACGTAACTGTGTAGGAATCATACGTTGTGTAGATCAATTGCTGTGAATTGGCGCTTGTTGTATTATTGCGTCACGTTACTAGAAACTTCTAAGTTTTTACTCAGTTGAATATTATTGCATCAAAATATCGCGCGGTGTATGGAACGTTCTAGGCTTTTATCGGTCTATAAATACGCATACGAAATGTAGTTCGAGATATAAAGTTAGACAAAGAGATAGAAAGATAGATCTAAACTGCGTGGCTGTGAGTTTAGCCATAAAGAGTAATAGTGGCGACTTTTAAAGTGAAAATATCACAGATTATATTGTAAAAACAGAACAGAGAAGAGTAATCCGTCATATCAGTTGTGTTCTAAAGAAACTTAACCAGCCTATGTAGATTTTGACGAAAAGAGACGATTGTTTGAAGCTCTTGTATACAACTGTGGTAATTAACTGTGTAACGAACATCTGTATATACGTTTGACTTGTTTTAATATACTATTTAAAACAAGTGGATTATGTGTTGTTTGTTTATTGTTGAAATTTATCGCCAGCGAGTCACAGACACCTATTGTGAAGAATTTGGCCCACATATACATAAAACCTGACAGATGTGAACAATAATGTGAAACAAAAAAAAAATGCATCGGAGAAAACATTATAATTACAGAAACTTGTATTTAAAATGTATTCCAGGGATAAAAGAATTCCCCAAAAGGACAACGGTAACTTTGAGCATAATTACCTAAAAAAGCCGAGCACGGTCCAGTGATTCATGAGCCGGACTGTGGAGCTGAGTTTTGTTGTTTGTATTCCCCACCCCCCAAATAAATAAATAAATAAATCGCGCTTCACATTTTGGGGCATGGTGCGGGGTGCGTTAGAAGAGTGACAGACTTCACTGTTCGGTATGAAAAAAGTTACCGAAGAGTTGACTGTGGGTGGTGTTCACTAGCTGCCTTTCCTCTAGTTTATCACATCAAAATTAGATGTGGCTAGTGCTGATAACCCTCGAATACAGCTTTGCGCGAAGTCCAACAAATAGTTAAATATCTTGCTCAATATTACCACACGCAAAACCAGCAAGTGTCATATAAGATGTCAGGAACCCGTCCCATCAAACATGCTCGCCCTTTCAGCAGTGGGGGCGTTATAATGTTACGGTCAATCCCACTATTCATTGGTAAAAGAGTAGGCCAAGAGTTGGCGGTGGGTGGTGATGACTAGCTGCCTTCCCTCTAGTCTTACACTGCTAAATTAGGGACGGCTAGCTTTGCGCAGAATTCAAAAACAAACAATTAGATAACGTTTTTTTTTTTTTGTTTGTATTGTTATAACTAGTTAATTTATTAAATTTGTTACTTTTAGTTACGTTTACCTTACA